CCCCAAAACCCCAAAACCCCAAAACCCCGCGGTAACATTTAGGAATAGATCTTGTAAATCATTAATTATGAAATCAACATTAATTAGTTTTGCAATTAGGTTTCCTTACTTTCCTACCACCTTTTCTTTCCTGCTTTTCCTCTCCCTCGAGATCTGCAGTTACTTCAAAATGCTTGGAATCTTAAGCATGCTTAACTTACTCATTATTAGTGTCATCCTTAGAACTCTTCGAAGCAGCAGCTTAAATCTCCTTGATACCCATTTTATCGAAAATATAAGCCTGCTTCTCCTCTTAGGTCTTGCCAAGTAAATCACTCTCATCAATAAACATTAAATTCCATCCAAATAAATCTACAAGAATATCCTACTTGAGATCAACTGTTCGTCTTATTATAGGCTAGTCATCAATGATGGTTGAGATGAATGAGTTCTTGTTAATGAGAATAATGCCTACAAGCTATTACTCTTCACCTAGGGCCTACTAAGGCACACAAGCTATGTTGATAAGATTCATCAAATCATCTGATAAGTTTTATGTTACTTCTTTGAATATATTTGACTTTTTGATGATTCTAAACAAGTCATTGCTAAGTTGCTAATTAACCTTTGTTGCTGGATCCTCATTGATGAATTCCTCCCTTCTTTCCACTGAGATGCCGAGTGTAATTCTTTCATATATCTTATCGAACTGCAATATCTTAAACTCCTGGCCAGTTTGCATCCAGAACATTTAAACAAGGCAAATCAACTATTTATACAGTAGGAAGTTCCTTGGACTCAGAGCGTTTGGGTCTATATCATTCAGGAATGCAAGGTTGTCCTCATTGATGATAGTAGGATCTGTGCAGGATTTTTCAATCTGCATTAGAGACCAGAATAGAGCAATTCTTTCCTCTGGCTTAGTAAATTCAGTCATTAACTTGCCGAGCTTTACGCATTCCTGTACGATAAACACGAATTTCTTTGCGATTTCATGTTACTAGTATTCAATCATATTGCTCAAAGTGGAAGCGAAATTTTCCTTAGGAATATCATAGATGCATTATCTCAGCCTGCCTAATAGTTCAGCCATAAATTTCTACTACTCTGGTAGATTTTTCTAAGGCTAATAAGGTGATATTCTCACAAGTATATTAAAGACTCTGCATAGATCTTCTGTCGGGAACTTTTTATCTTTTATCACAGCTTGAATTTTGTTAAGAAAAGTAAGATATATCTCCTCAGACATGCTGTTGTCATAGATATAACTGACTTCCGGGAATATCTCGAAGAACCTGAGCATGTCAGAGTACTTCATAGTTCCCTCTTCATTTATTGACTCTATAATTTTACTTATCAGTTTATCGTATAGTTCACCTGAGCCATAACCCATTTTAAAATAGCTTGATAATACCTTGACTAAATAATGTGGTATTAACTCTTCCAATTTAGAGAGAACAACTCTTTCCAATTTCTTGAAGGTGTCCTCATTACGATAGTCTAGGTTTTAGATACTCTCAATGGCGAATGCTACTCCTCTGGCCTTCATTGTTGGAGCTTTAGTCCTCACTCTATCAATCAGTTTTTCTAAAGTAAACTTCTGATAATCAGGCAAGTCAATAAATTTCAAATACTTCTTCTCTTCGTAAATTGATTTGTGATTTCTAGAGAATGCCCAAATCAAAGTCTCTAGCTGTTTCAAAGTGAATTCATTAATGTTGATGGCAACTGTTTTGTAGATCAGATTCTCCAGATCAGGGTTCTTAATTTTATACAGAGAGATTCCCTTGATCAAATCACTCACGATTTGCAAGTTATCTGATTCAAATTTATTCAAGATGAAGTCCTCTAACTCTTGCTGAAACTTATTTGATCCAATATTGGCTGGTAAGATATTCTCAACTATATTACAAAGATCAGGAAAGGTGACTCTTCCCTCGTGTATCTCTTTATGAATATGCTTTTCCATCTTTTCATAGAATCCATAGCCAGCTTTATGAACATTAGTAGCTTTGCTTAAATGTCTAGCTATCTCCACTATGTTTTAAATGCTCATCTTTTCTAGTCCTCTGCTTAGCATTCTCTCAACAATATGTCCATAGAGAGTAGCGGATCCCAAATCAACCTAAGAATACCCCATGAGTATTTTCTGCAGGTACTCATTTTCAATGCCTATAGGAGAGTCAATGATGATCTCTTCCATCTCATGAAAGAATGTCTTTGATCCATTGCCAGTGACACCAAAGGCATTAATCACAGTAGCCAGCTGCTCATTATTGAGATTATTTCTTCTACGATATAATTCCTACTCTAAAGGTCTCCAGATAATATGATCTTTAAAGTAATCCTTCTACAGCATCAGAGTCTTAGTGATGTTAACTATGGTAGCAGTTAAGAACTAAGGCATTCTTTAAATCACATTGGCTATGAATACTTCGTCCACTGCCTACTAGTTCTAAGTCAGCATCAGTTTGAGTCTCTTTTCAGGGAGTTCTACAATCTTCTCTAAAGTTTTGTAGAGTTCTATCTCAGTGAGTTTATGAGGATTTTTTATCACACCTAGCGGTCTATCTGCCCATTACTTATCAAGAAGAGTTGATGATCCAATCTGAGCTATTTGATCTGGACTCATTCTGGATATATAGCTCTTTGCAAACTTTTTGTCATGATGCTTTTCTTTTAACTCTTAATTTTTTTCTTTCAAGACTTTCTCAATGTTAGAGTTCTTATACTTCTCATAGTCTACTTTGGGAGCAGAAGTTTGATTGCTTTATGAGGAAGTGCCAGTTGAGCCTATATATCTACGAGACGGAGTAATAATTCTAAAAGGTTTCTGAAGTAAAAGTTGAAGTGTAAGTGATCTCATTTTTATTGAGCTTATAATTTAGATTAATATTTTCTATGGCTCTAATTGCTTTAAAGTTATGTGAATTCTTATATGATGGGGTTTTGGGGTTTTGGGG